AGTGATAAGGACTTGACAGCCAACTTACAGCTTATGAATACCGCAGATCATTATGGTGTAACAGATATCGACTGGGATCCCACAGGACGCTTCGTTGCTACCAGTGCCAGTATTTGGAAGCACACCGTAAGTAGCTAATATTCCTTTTTGATTAATATACTAACTATCAATAGATGGAGAACGGCTACCATTTGTACGACTTCAAGGGTGAGCAACTTCGCGAAGAACCAGTTGAGAAGTTCAAGCAATGGTTGTGGCGTCCTCGACCACCCACTCTCCTCTCCAAGGAGGAACAAAAGCAAATCCGCAAAAATCTCCGTGAATACAGCAAGGTATTTGATCAAGAAGATGCCGACCGTGGTGCATCCGCCGATCTTGCTGTTGTCGAACACAGACGTAGACTCTTGGACGAATGGCTTGCATGGAGAGCAAATATGGAGGAGGATGTCAAGGCTGACAGAGAAGACGCAGGTCTTCCCCTTGACCCTCTGGAGCCTCTCAAATCTAAGATGGCAAGCGGTGATGAAGGTCAAGCTATTGAGATTGAAGAAATTGTCGAGGAGATTGTTGAGGAGACTGAAGAGATTATATCATGAGTAGCCAAGGTCTCCCCATAGTCCGGAATATTTCTTTTATCTGTCCTTTACGACTATGTAGGGGTTGGAGTTGATAAAAGCTATGGCATTGATTTCGAGGTTCATGGACTTTTTCCAATTTTTCTCGAGGTATTTACATATGCATACTAGGTAGATGAATAGTAAAAAGCTTGTGGGCAATTTGATTGTTTAAAAAACCCGACGTGCCACCACAAGTACTTGAAATTGTTATTGCCCAGCTGTCTTGATATTATACTTCTTTGCTTGACCTATCCTGGTCGAGCACAAACAATACACAATTGCCCAAATTTGACATTCTCAGGGTTCTTATCGAAAATGTGAGACTCAAGATTGTTGTTCCCAGCCCGTTTCCCATAGACATCCAAGAAATCTCTACATCTATTCGCATGCCTCTCCTCTACCACGACATCAAAGAACCAGCTCCTAATTCAAACGAGACTAAGCAATGCAACCATCTCTTCCCCCCAAAATTCCTCGTACCATATCTTGAACGCAGATAGACTCTTTTGATGTCAAACGGGTCTGCATCAATGTATCACATGACTCGGGTAGCTTCTAAGAAAGGGGAACGGGGGTGGTTGGGGCATGGCTTGAGAAATGGTGTTTACTTCTGGGATGAGCGATTTCGACAGTGGTTGTGTAGGTGTGGGTGTTACTTTTTGGTTTTGAGAATCACTGGAAATGGAGTGTCTAGAATGTGAGAAGAGAATGGAGTTGTATTACGTGCAAGCTTTGAGGAGGAAATTGGGGGGGTTCATCGCTGGGAAATTTTAACACTCGAGGCTAGCTAGAGACCAAGTGCAGGATACGAAAGGGGTTGTCAAATTCCATTTAAAAAGTGTCTTGCTGTGACACTCGAAGCTTCGAGGGTTGTTTGGTAAGGCTGGAACATTACTTGAGACAAAGCGAACCAGGATGAGGTATTCCTGACAGTTACTTTATGTATATGGCGAATGGTTTTATCCATGCTATCGAGATAGGATGGATAATTGCTACATACATTTGTCTTGTTTTCTAAGGAATATGGCAACTACACATCTCTTTATGCTTTATCCGAGAATTATTTAAGTGATCAGTCATACCTCATAACATCAATGCATTTACCAACCAGCTTTCAACCATTTCTTAACCGTTCTTATCTCCCAAAGATGTGCCTGTTGAATGAACAATGGTTCGGCTGCAATATCTAAGATACCATAAGAATCCCAATGATGACCTGCGCCAGAGATGAGAAACTCGGGGTGTAGATCAGAGGAAATCCGGGGGCTGGGCGCATAGTGAGAGTGATAACAAAGGTCAAGCCATACGTCATTGTCTAGCATGATGTTAGTGTCTGATGAAGATTGGATTATCGGAGGCAGAAAAGGGTGCCTAGGTTTTATTGAGCTTGAAAACTACTTACCTCCGTCGATGAAAGCTAGACGATCGGCAGAGAAGTTGTATCCACCATATTGGTTCCATAAGGTAAGATTGACGACTGGTGGGATAGAATTGTAATCTCCTGGTGGAAATGCCCAGTTACACCATTGTTGACTTATCCGAGTTTAGTATGTTGCCAATGCCAGAAAAGAGGTAATTACTTACGTGTAGTCTGGTTGAAGAACGCGAGAAATCAGTGATGGGCCGGTCTCGGGTGCTGCTTGATAGGCGCCAAGTTCAAGGCATGCTTTGGACAATAGTCAGTATATACTGGATTGAAAATTTTATAGGGAGTCACGTACTGGTATAGAGATATGAACGACCTGCTCTATTTGTAACGTCGGCGTAGTATGTCTCGTTTTGGGTGCCAAAACAGGAGGTGCTATCGATAGGCTCGCCATCGCACAGTGGAATAAGGACACTCTTAATATAATTGGCATAATTTCCAAGATTTGTCCATGGCTCACCCCCTGTATAGTTTGAGAGGGCGTAATCGATCTCTGTGACCGTTTTGGGAGCATCTACGTTTGTGATGTTCGAGCAAAAGTCCCAGAAATCGTTTGAAGTATACAAAGGACTCCAGTTCAGTTCTTGCCATGTACTTGTGGGATAATTCATTGGTCCGCCAACTGCATTAAGTTAGTTGCAGTATACTCCAAAAATACCTGTGGTTGTTCTTACGAGGAAATGCTATAGTCATGGCAAAGTCTCTATGGTCTGTCAAAGCCTCAAGACCGAACAAGGATTTGAATTCTCGGATCGCACGTGTGTTGTTGACGGATATAAGGGCGTCAAATTTATCGATAATGTCGTTAATACTTGATATACAGTCCTGAGGAGCCAATCTCTGAATTGGATTGTACCTAGGCACAACGTCAGTAAAAGAGACCATGCATGAAATAATCAGCTGGTATTTGCTAACCATTCTGGATATCCCACAACAGTCTTGACAGGGGCGCTGGCAGCAATACCACCAAAGAAGATATCTGGATAAATCCTAATGAACGGTATTAGCTCCGTTGTACTGCGTCCATATTTACCATCCAAGCTCTCGGTAGCCTATGGGAAATCTCCAGATCTCCACGGGCGGTGATAGAATTTACTTTACTGATAAGGCAGTCTGTCCGCCGGCCAAAGAGCCACCGTAGAGTATCCATTTAGTGCCTGGTGCAGTGATACTAGCATTGAGACCAGACAGGGATACATGTTGAGCAAAGTATGCATTATCCGCAACGGCTGGAATCAAGTCTGTTAGATTCAGTCTGGCAGGAGATGTAGCAGATGATACGAACTTTGTTGATTGGTCAAGTATGCCAAGTTGTCTGTTGTACTTGTGTTGAATGGCCAGCTCTGGCCGTAGTACCGGTTCTCAAGAATAATTCCAAGACCATTTGTAGCTTCCATCAATATTTGAATGACTAGAAGATGGTCAGTGAAACGATCTAGTCACACTATTCAAAACATACTCCCAGTCTGAAGGTTGCTGAATCTATTCTGGCCATTGGTTTCTCCCCCGATGTAGAGATAGACCGGTCCCCCGGGCTTATAGTACGTCGCATCGTACCAATATCTTTGTTTGAAAGTAGCATTTGTATGTGGAGCATACGCCGGATCATTTGGGAAATGATCAATCTACACATCAAAATCAGAACTTGCAAATGAAGAGAAGCCTGAAACTCCAACGCACTGGCTGGTCTATAGCATAAGGCGTATAGGCCAATGTATCCCTCCTATCAATCGATATCGTCGACTCTTTAACAGTCCCGACTTTTGTCAATATAGAAGCACATGTTGAACCAATGAGCCCAGTAACTACACTGGCCAGAAGTGAATTGCACCTCATTCTCTAAAACGCGAAGTGAAAACGAGAGAGAAAGATTATGATGGAATTGACATGAAATTATTTAGTCTATCACGCAACATATATGCCATACTATAGTCTGCAGTCCGTATAGTACCTTGCATACTAACTATACTCAATCAGGAAGCTGCGATGATGTGCGGTCTAGCAAAATCGTGCTTTCTCCACGTATTTCTTCATGACGACACGCTCATACACGATCGTGAGTAGAACGCCAAGCCAGTTAGGGAAGCTTCTATCTCGGAGTATAAATCCGAAAAAGAGACATCGATAGCCTTTCATTAGTGCAGTCATTGAACTTCGTATTAGAATACTGCTATTCGCCGGCATAGATGATAAGCATTTGAGATTCTGGGGTCGATTGGATACGGCTATGAATGACTTTCCGTTTCTCACTAGTGGGAACTAGGTGTGATTCAATACCCATTGAAGCTTACACATTAGAAGTTGAGAGATAGTTAGGAAAGCATACTGACGATCCGAACGAGGGTAAAGTGCCACAGACCATTTCTGCCATTTTTGAACAGTGTCTCGAGTGTCTGTATGTAGGAGAGAAGAAGGAGGCCAAAATTGATTACCCCAACCAATTCTATAATAAATCAACCACGAATAAAATCATGAGAGCTGAGAGCATCAAACAAAACCTTGAAAAGTCTTCAGTTACAACACTATTTTAATTTTTAACTATATGAATTAAAATGCCTGTTCAAAGTATGAGGAAAGGTCTCTTGATAAGCATTTTTATAGGGTTTTGGGGGGGAAGCACGCCTCGCTTTTCATTGAAACATTCTTGGCACATCTTCGATAAATTTTTGCTTAGTCATCAATTCCAAGAGACCAACAGAACTCTAAAAATTCACGAGATTCACAATCTAGAAAAGGCCTGTGTTGTGTGTTAACGATGCTCTTGTGAGTTGTTGAAGGGTTTTGCCAGTGGTCAACTCCGGTCTGTTTTTTCCCTCACAAATAGAGTGTATCCGTATCTGATGATGTGCCACGTGAGATGCCTCCCCTCGATGTCCTTTCATCTGTTTCCAACGCAATATTGATATCGTTACTCTCAAACTCCAGAGAATGAAGGATGTCCTGGAGATATCTACAGCATGTTATTCAAATGGTGGTTCATGGACACACCTGGCACATGTAACGATCCTAGGCCATTATTTGCGAACTATACGTCCACATTTATTAGTCCTTATCAACGAATGACCGTGTCATAGGTTATACATTCCCATTCGGGACGTATTTTCCTGAAATGAAGACGGCGTGAGTCATTATATTCACGCCGACGATAAATACTGTCGAGGTAAAAGTAGGTATACGTATATATACGGAGTACCTATTATGTTAGATTCAAACTTATACATCATATCACACCACACTTGAATGTTTTGTTAATCATGCTGGTCTTTTGGTTGCAAGTTGGTGCGGCAATCTTTGGTTTATACGCAGTATGGAGGGTACAGTGGAAGTATTGGACAGCTCGACGGAATGAAACGGTACGGTACCTCTAAAGCTGGAACATGCTTCTCTTGTCACCTTGGTTCTTGTCTCGCGAGGTGTTCTGTTATCACAAAGTCGTCTGAGCAATTGACAGTTTTAATTGCTCAAGACTACATTCATCACTCACTCGTCCACTTTACGAGATTGTTCCCCTGAGAATATTCCTTCAATATTCATCATCACACAAAATAGCCAAGCGGCAATGTCACTCTCCTTTACTGCGTGCGTGCCTATCTTAAGTCTATAATCTGACCAATTCCACAAGACCAATTTCAATGACGAGAAGATATCAACCATTGCCAATTCTCCAAGCATCACTCCTCTATCAGATTTCGACTGGCGCACCACCGAGCCCCTCAAGCTGCGACCTTTCAAACCAGTATACCACATGACAATGGGTACAAAACTCCCTCTGAATTCTGCTGCCGATTCATTCTAAACTTCCTCTGCTTACAAAACAAAGGTATTCAATCATGTCCTGCATCTGAACTCATAGAAATGGACCGGACATACCTTGACCGCCTCGCTGTCCGCACCAACGTGATAAGAGAGCACACCCCTAAAGCACTCCAAGCCCTCCCATCATCCCATGCTGCGATTGAGGAATTTTACACGTACTTAACCGCCAACTACCTCCCTACTCGCTTTCCCACCATCTACTCTCTTCATCCTACATATCTTTTGAATAAAGCAACAGGCCATCATATTCCTCTCACTCCCTCCTCTCCTATCGAAGCGCTCCGTACCTTAGGCACAAATGTCGACAGCGATTATCTCATTCTGGTTCCTTCTCTCGACGGCGACGGTTACATCTTAGGAGGGTTCATCACATGCTTCCCATCCGGATTTGACACTCAAACACTGCTCGGTAAGAAAATAAGGGATATTCATAAACCCGTGCCGAAGTACAAAGAGAAGTTGGAGACGAGTATGTATCGAAGTTTCGATCGATTGGAAGTGGGGAAGATTATCAAGAGAGTCAATGTAAGTTTCTCCACCGACTTCTGAGACTTCTAGGAACAGGTAAGTAACAACACGGCACAGTGGTCGATTACTACCCACTCGCGCTTATATGTAGCGAGTGGAAATCATCTGTATGAAGACGAAGAGGCGAAGGAAGAAGAGTTTGATATCAAAGATGTAAGCTCCTACTTGTTTTTGTCGTGTCATTTCTTCCACAGGACTAATTTTCTAGGCGAACCTCCGCTGTGAACGTCAACTAATACATCGTCTTCCACAAACTAAAGCCTTGGTGTTCTCAATCAAAACTTATCTTACACCAATTACCCAAATCAAAGAAGAAGGCTTGGGAGAGGAGTTGGCAGAGGCAATTGATGGTTTGAAAAAGGGAAATGTACCAGAGATACATTACTACAAGAAAGGTGTCATTTGGGGGGGAAAAATCAAGGAGTATTTGAGAAGTTAGGAACTATGAGACATGACAAAATGGAAACGATCATTCTCACCTCATACTGAGGCGTTAGAATCGTTCTAGATCATGACTGTTGAAAGTGTCTGAACCAAAATCCATTTTCAATCTTTCTTAAATGAATGAATAACTAATATGTTCCTTCGAGATCAAGTTCATTGTCAATTGATTGTTGATTCAGAACCTCAGAATCTAGAAGTCCAGTTTGAACAATCTCAAATTATTGGTTGGTTTCAAGTACCTATTGTTTCATTTTTGGGGGGGTATTTCAAAAGTGTGCCACGACTCTCCACTCTCGCCAGTACTCATGGCAAAGGTATCTGTCAGATGTGTTCCTGAATCACTAATCGAAGTTCGGACAATCGATCCGGCTTCTCCATTGAAATCTGGAAGAGTTCCTACCACATCGGGGTGCGGGAAGGAGAGCATGAGAACCTTGGTCTTGAGGAGTATACCAGATCATGACGAATCAAGGCTGACGACGATGTATTCTAGTGTAACAGAAAGCTGCTTACTGAAAGACATACAAAAAGGTGACACCAGGAAACAAGCTATCCATTTGATGAGGCGAGGAGAATGCACATGGTTATGTCACTTTAAAGACGACGGAAGTGCAAGGACATAGATTTACACCTTAAAGCAAATTGGCAATGAATGCAGTTTATATTAAATGTTTGATTTATGCTATCTGAATTCAAGATATCTATGAAGGTGAAAAGTAAATCAAAGTGTGCTGACCCATTGCCGTCGACACCAATCGAGCAAAGGTGATAGAATGCCTTCTAGAGAACAGGGTTGTGCGCTGATATACAAATGGTTATGGAGCATTTGGATACTCACACATCAAGCCATTGATATTGTTTGTATAAAAAAATTGATATGATTTGAAAGAATGTAGCCTCAGCTGATTCCCAACCTTTCAGAAAAGTCTAAACGACATCTCAAAGTCAGGCGCCCAGCAACGGGTTGTAAGTATTCTTCGCACAGCGCGAAAACATCTCGTTTTATTGAAGAAATCGAGTGCCGTTAAGTAATGTTTTAGAAGCTGGCGTGGTTTTGTAAGGGAAGGGAAGAAGGGAAACGATGGATGAGACGGGGAGAAAAAGAAATCCCACACCGTATCAATCGGCGGTATTTACCGTATAGCTGCTGTGTCCATAGCTATTCTCTACCTCTGACACCTTTGTATATATATTTGTTTCGTATTGGCGGAACTGAGCAGAGGCAGGCAATCTTTGATTGTGCTCGTCGAAGAAAGCTTGCACATTGGTTTGCGAGCTATAAATACCGCATCGTCTATGATTAAATAGACCGCAAGAGTATGATGCGTGCTCGAAATCAAAGGATTGTTCACGAAGTAGATATTTCAAGGTCGAGTAGAAAAGTTACCAAGAAGGTTGGTTGTTGTTGTTGTGAGGTACAAAAGATTTGGAGAAGAAAAAAAATCTGCATCAATTCATAGCTCTTCACTAGCGTCTGCAGTAACCGAGGAGCTATGACCACCAAGAACCCTTCCCTTCCCTTCCAAATTCAATAATGAGACGATTAATAAACCTCCATTTGTATTGCGATATTTGACATTGGATCCTTTCAAGAGAGCCTCTTAAACTTCGAAAATTGCCAAGAATCCCGATAATATGGACTTCTTTCATACAGTTGTGGGACGTACCTGAAATGCTGCAGGCTTTGATCGCGTATGCCGTAGTACCATTCAGTCGTATGTGCAGTAGTCCATTATTACGGTATCAAAACGTTATGCAGCTCGGCCACCAACAGTATCATCTCTCCTTGATCTTGCAAGGTGACGACGACCATGTGCCATGTGAGGAAGGTATGAGGCAATATATCTCTGTGGAGGAATACAATTTCTTCTAGAAGCCACACAGGACTTTCCAATTGAAAGGGAGAATTGCGCCATATTACCCCCGTGAGTCTCATGCATTTTCCATTACGTTTTGATTCCTCTACCCGGAGCCCAAAAGCCTCGAGATTTCCCTCAGCTTTTGCTTGTCATATGAGTATTACAACTCGTTCGGTTGGCTCTGAATGTCTGAACATCTGAATGGAATTCAACGAATTCAATGATTGGATAGGCGTTTCGAAACATGGAGCGCATAGCAGCATTAAATACATACATAGTACCACATGATTTGAAAGATTAAGGATAATTTATTGTATTACTTGGCTTGGGAAATTGGGGCTAAGACTGTATTTAAAAAGTTTTATCCCTTTTCATTCTACTTCGTGATGTTGCAGGACATGCCTAGGTACACCTCGTTGTGCCCGCTCCATGTGGATCGAACGTATAAATATATACTTCCCCGCATTATCAGATTCAATGTCCTCTCTCTTTTGCATGTTTTCACTTGTTGCGAATTCAACCTTTAAACCATTGTGTATCATCACGCAATAAGGTGTAATTCACTCATTCCTGACGCAGTTAGCTCAGGTTGAAACAAAGAAATTTCGCAGCTATATTTTCGGTGGACTCTGACAACCACGTAAATTACTCTCCTTTGATCCAAGTCCACCTCAAACAAGCAAACTTTCAAATACTGAAGTTACTTCATATCTCGAAGCATCCTTAATCATTCAAAATGGCCGCTTTACCTCAATACCTTGCCGAAGAAGAGCTTCGACGTGCTTCGTCATCCTCTATCCGGTCGGCCAACCTCTCTCACGGCCGTGGTGGCGCTGGTAAGCTCTTTTCTGTTTACTTTGATTTAATTTGATGCTTTGAATTTATTAACCTATCTTTCTAGGTAATATTGGCACTTCTCCTCATGATGATGAGCCTCTCACCCTCAACACACCTACCATCAAAAGCGACATTTACACCACCGGTCGCGGAGGAACTGGAAATATGGCGAAGAACACAGACCCCCAATCGGCCAGACGGGTAAGTTTTCAACCTACTTGATCAAAATATGTGTACTTAGTGCTAACAAAAGGTAGGCGCAAGATGTCGTTGGGTAGGTAGAGTTACATAGCTCGAATCAATTTCAAGCAATGCTCAGTTCTAACCTAAATGCTTTAGTAATCCAAGAAGGGAATCTTCTTCATCGAGTCACGTCGGTCGGGGCGGAGCAGCAAATGTTTTCAAACCAAGCGAGGCCGAGATTGTCGCAGCGCGCAAGGATACCAAATGGGATAATGCAATCTCAGACGAAGATGAGCTTGATTATAGCAAGCTGGATAACAAGCTTGAACCACAGAAAGGTCTAGCAGACAAGGGAAAGGCATGGTTGAAGGAGAGGATGGGCAAGGCTTAAACAGTTTAATGGAGTCTTAGGCATGGGATGGAATGATACCAGGCGTCGATGGATTTGTTCAAGTTTGGGAGATGTGAGGTGCCCCTCACCAATGGTAGATATTGCACAGTTTGAGCATCGTCATGTGGCAGATGACTGCGGTTTTGCTTTACCAACACAAGGTTTCCGGAGTCAACGGCTAGATGCGGCTTCCAATATAATTGCAATAAACACATAGGCCCTCTGACCAATCGATACGTTGATGCCGGTACTTGACAGACTTATTCCTTGACTATTGTGAAGATTAGCCACATCAAGGACGTGTGTGGACTGCAAATGTTGCATCATGTGGGTGGCTGTTTTAGGAGCTATGCAAGAACATGTATTCTCACGCCATCACCTATCTCACTTGCAGAATCATTACTGTATGCTTCATTGATGGAAAGTGATAGTAAGTTCTTTCATGGTACTTGTTAGGCAATCTCAGTCGCGCGGCACAGTTGAGACTATTGCCATGGTCATACTTCTTGACTGGTGATCATTGGCATCAATCTTTTACAGAATCATTTTGAATGTGCGTCTGCGGCAAAGAATGAATAGCTTCTCGCCCAGCATTCAAATAGTTACCTACCAACACACAGTATAAGAAGTAAATCGAATACCCGCCACATATTCAATCTCGATCAAAATTACACACCCAAACCGAAACTTACATTATATTCGACAATTTACATAGTCATTTAGCCTTAATAAAGTCTGTACACCGTTTTCAATATCCCTATGCAAATCTGAGAATCAAATGATCTCCTGTGTTTTAATGTGCAGATTAATCTTTCAAATCTCGTGCTAGGCACTGCGAGGCACAGCAGCAAAGCACTGTGTGTGGTGTGCATTGCACATGTTGTTTTAGAGCCCTTGCATCTGAGACAGTAGATATAAAGGGGGGTCTTTTCCGAATCTCTCTTCCAAGGGCCTCAGAATTTCCCGATAGCATGCTATCGATATAATATACAGAACAACGTGATTGTATAACGTCAATATAATTCATAGGACAGTATGATTGTTTGACATGAACACAACGTATGAGATAATGTGATTGCATAATATCAATACAAGGTATGGAGCAATATGATTGTATACTCGGTGCCGATTACAATACACAGAACTATTTTTATATCCCTACAAGTATGGCTAATCACATTATCTAGTATGGAGAATCTATGAGGTATGATTTTCACAGCATACAAAAACCTTGTCACAATGATTTGATTTTCTCGCAGTCTCTACGGTAAAACATTATGGAGGATAATGCGGCGATGGAATCACCAGAAGCCTCCAATCTTTACCCCCATCCCAGAAAGTTTTCAATCGCGATGCGTAATTTTAGATTCCCTACTAGTCCATACATACGTACCTCCTTCCTGAAAAGCATCGTTGTGAGATTGATACACATGTAAAATCTTTTAGTTGCAGATAGTTGATACCCAGTAAGCACGATGCGACGCTCTACTTATCCCGGCACCCTTCCCTCGGATACGTACCGATGCCTCGGGGTTGGCGAGCTCCTAATATGTACAGATTACATGATCGATGCATGCATCAATATGTACTTTGTAGAGAAATAGTAAGCATATACTTATGTAAATGTGATTCTACTTATATCAGGTAGAAAGGGGAAATCAATGGTATGCAGCTTATGAAACTGTGATACCGGGTCGGGGCAAGGAGGCACATGAAAGGACCATGATGTCCGTACATGGAAAAATAAGACCACTTTTTGAGTGGAGGTCCTCGGGGTAACACGGCAGCCGTTGGAGATGAGGGGAAATACCATCTGGAAATAAAGTTGTTGGGTTGTACGGGGTAGACGGTGGGATGGGGGGATGGAGGGGGCAAAGGTGTGATTTCATTGGATGTTATGATGAAGGAGATAAAGTCCGGATCAAGTAGAACGTAAGGAAGATTTATTGTGTCTAGGTAGATACTGTATCAAACGATAGTTTGAATCATCGTTCAAATTATCTGAAGTTGAACTGAACAGAAACAATTCATGATCTACGAAGTAGATGACGGGATGAGAAACTAAATGCTGTAAAAGTATCTTAGCGATGTTGCTACACACCCCTGAATTGCTAATTTTCGGATTTCTGCAGCATCTCCGAAGAACTACCTAGTCTGATTGAGCGGATGTGCTTCCGTGTATTTATTAATTTGCCGCATTTATTCCTTCGGGTGGTCGAAAACCACAAAACGAGATATAAATCCATAAGTAACGTCACATATTCCTGTCAGCTAATCCGATAAACCCCACAGTGACTTACTCAGTTGCGGACACTTGGGCCAGCTCTAGGCTTTGCTTTAGCTTGTCCACTTGTATTGATAGGTACTGACTTCCCAGCTTCCATACCACATCCTTGATATCCTTGACCTTGTCTTCACTCAAGTCAAGACCCAAGTCTAAAAGTTTCCCATCATGGGTTGGCCGAAAAAGCATTACCCGGCTGCCCGCAATATGCCAATAAAAAACCCCTCCAAATCATACCCGCATATCCATTATCTTACCTAACTGGGTGAGTTTTTGGACCCCAAGGACAATTTCATTCGATCTCACGGATTTCCAACAAATGCAAGAACGTTCCGTTGGGTATGATGTTCAAGTGCTTACTAGAGCTTGATCATATTATGGCGTATAGTCGGACCATGATTATGGATTAGCTTTGGACCATTGGACCATTGGTTCTGGCCATGGAGAATTTCTCTTCTAAGCCTTTAGTCAGGAGGATGTAATTCACATTTAACCAAACAGGATGATGTAAGGCACCTTGTCGTTTAACCCCGTCGTGCCACTCTAATGAGACCTAGTATCTATTACTAAACCCTGATCCTGATGCTTGCATCTACGGTACTTTACCAAACCAACGGTAAACATCTTCCTGGCACCTTCGTTATCCATACCAATCGGACTCTCCTGTTCTCATTAGCATATCATCATCCTTGAAAGTTGAGCATGGGGTAGAAAGAATTGTATGCCGAGCTCATTAAGGTCTGATCACAAACGATCTTCGAGGGTAAACGCGATCTAGATACTAAAGAGATAGAAGATTGAAGTGGTAGCTTATTTAGCTGTATCTTTGGCCAAAAATACATCTTTGTTAATTCCGCGATTGTAAGTCGACGGGCTCTATCAATATCACTTCGTATACAATACTAAATCATCCTCAATGAGACTTGGTGAGATCCAGGTGGAAGCGAGCAGGAACCAAGCAGGAGAGGTATCTATGGTACAATCAAGCAATGAATGTAAACCAGTGATACGAGAGGTCTTTAAAAATGATCCGTAAATGACTTTTGGGGAGGGGCTTAGTACCTATCATTTCTCAGCATGGCGTATTGTTGTATGCAACCTAAACTCCTGCCGCTTCACTGCCGCAGCACATCTCTCTTTTAAGACAGCCCAGCTGCTCCCAGCTTCCCAATTCCCAAACTGTCAAACGCTCGTGCATATGCTGGGTTGCACATTTTCTATATCTTGCTACCTCCTACGATCCCCCGAATAGATCTCTCAATGATTTCCAACTTCTAGGAATTTATGCTTAAGAATGCCAAGTATGCATGCATGTACGCCGCCGCAAAGACAAGCGATACTTACTTTGACCAGTCGAATTTCATTGGGGTAATTCGGATTAAAATTTGTGACGGCTGCATTGTAACACAACTCATGATCAACCCAGCAATTTGGGCTTTGGTGCCTTTTGGGTTCCCATCGGATTTTCCACCTTTAAAAAGTGCTGGGGTGGAAGGGAATAGGATGACATGATATGATAATGTAAAGTAGGGAGAACCCAATGAGATCGATACTTACAACCATATGATGTTACCGTTGGGGTTGTGAGATGAGCCACAGATCATGTTACATTTTGAACCAGTTGTTTTCTTTTGTATCAATGGTTATATCAAAGATGGTAATGAGCATTTTGAACTACACAGATTATCTTATATAGATAACTTCGGATTGTACAGGAATTCAATTGTATGTCATTTCTCTAAGTTTGGAAGGGTTGGTTTTGTTGGATTAGATGATATTACATGATTGATTATGATATAACTATCAAGTCGAACTTATAATCCTAGTTACTAGATTCTGAGAGCTGAATTGTTCTCATCTTGATGAGTTTCCATTCACATCAAATCAGTTTTGTATGAATATCCACGACGTGTTGTGTAGGAATTGCTTAGAACATTACTCGTTAAGCAGTTCCCCTAAATCGATCCTTCATCAGTGCCTATACCTAAGGTAGTTCAGTGATTTTTGTGCCGTCAGACGATCAAGAAAGACGAAATACGAAAGCCAGAAGTACTTGATCAATCTATGTTTCGAGCTAATTGACTACCTGGGTGCTGTGTAGGTAGGTACACCCAGGTACCTAGTTAAGCCCTATAAATAACAGTAATTAACTCAAATAGACACCGCTGCAAGTTTTAATAGCAGCAACTTAGGTTCCGGGAGATCAACGAGTTACAAAACTCAAATTGAATATCTAGTTTACTGCAGTGAGAATGAAGAGGCTCGAATAAGAATTTCCAGAATCCAGAATCCATATGCGATTGTGTATTTCCATTCCAAGCTTTTCTACCCGCTGTCAAATTTGGCCACCAAATCGAGCATTGGTTCTAGATTAACTAGCTAGTGAGGCAGTGGATAGTGGGCGTTACGTAGTGGGTGGGCAGTAAGTAGTGGGCACTCACTCACCTCACTCCATCAGACCTAATTACCCCTTCATCTGCCGAAAGCCCCTCAAAGACCCCCAAGCAAGTTTTAAGACACAACAGAAAAATTGTTTACATCGTGTACTAGGTATCTGATGCCATCCACCCATTACGGCATTATCACACTATCCCATCCGTTTGACAAACTTTAAAGATTCTGTCAAGGGTACAAGAGAACTTGAGAAGGAGACAGGAACTAGGGCATTTCTGCGGAAGATGTCTGGTGGTGTGTCCTCTTTGAATTCTCTCGCCACCATTCGTCTTGGAGCTGCAATACGATATAGCTGAGGAGGCTCCATTCGGTCAAAAAAGGCATTTGTCCTCTGTGAAGAAGAGATTCCTCTGAAGACTTTGAAGGAGGAAGGGAGATATCCGACCATCCACACCTTGTCCAACCTCTCCTTCTGCCAATCCCTCCACCCCCCAATCCCACACTCTCTACGAAATTTCAGTTCCCAGTGCCAGTGCCCACATACTTACCTCCGTATATAGCACTTACATACATACCTACATACATCAATTTTAGCGTGCAACGCTGCACTGAGCTAGGAGGTGTCCTATCGTGGTTCCGCGCTTTTAAGATTATCCTTTGACAACCAGGATCATCTTCAAGGTTATTCCTTTTAACCAAAAACCTTCAGACGGACTTTTCGCTACCGAATTATTTGAAGCTACATCCATTATCATCACCATCTTATAGAAGTACATATCTAACCCGTTTACCTCATCCATCATTCATATCTTCATATATACATGCACATTTAGACTGTCACATACCCATACCTTCTCTTCACATCTATACCGCATCATAAACAATTTAGGATACGCAGATATTGAGAAAGAAGGATTAATTAAGGGCTAGGCTGTCATTGACGACGGCCAAATAAAAATTATATATTAATCATGAATACTACAGCATATGCTTCACCACCTCGCGATATGCATCCTCGATCAACCATGCCAAGTCTTCACGATACAACATATCGACCTGGTCCACCTCATCAGGGAGCTCCATACTCGATGCCACAAACAATGGCATCTCAGCATTCAACCATTTCAGCCTACGAACAATACAACAATTCTCTGCCTGTTTCCCGTCCTCCTCCTCCAGAACATTTGCCATCCTCAGAGGCGGTGTCGTCATTTTCTATTGGGCTTCCAGGGCAAGAGCCATCACCTCGGTCTATTACTGTAGATGGAAGAAAATATACGTATGTTTTGATTTTGGATCGATTTCTCCCCCTCATTTTGGTCAGGGGTGGCATATTAGACTTCGATTATGTTATCGGGGCGAGCGTCGCTGATTGATTTTCTAGTTTGGAAGTTCAACAACAACCAAAACGAGCTCGAATGTGTGGATTTGGAGACAAGGTAAGAATCAGTGAATTTAATGAGGATTTATCCTCTCATGTGGTCTCATTCTCGATCATAATTAACCATATTTAGGATCGTCGGCCTATCACTCCTCCTCCATGCGTCAAACTTAGCATAACAGAGATTGCCACTGGGAAAGAGGTAGACGTCAAGTGAGTTCCAACACCATGCATCTATACAACCATTCTAATGTCTAAATAGCAACATTGAACATGGAATGTTTGTGCTTAACGTAGACTTATGGTCAGCGGATGGCGATCGACCAGTCAATCTTGTCCGCCACTCGCAAACTTCTCCATCGATCTCAGCCACAGTTCCAGTATCTTATACGCAAATACAAGGAGGTGCAGCTGCATACTCGAGCCTACTTCCCGGACAAAGTCAACGAGAACCCACCAGTCCAACATATAGTAATGCGCCACCTTACCAGGGAGCTGGTTTCAGTCCGTACCCAGGCCCTCCACAAGTGAGCGCATACTCACAGCAACAACCCGGACAACAGTCGGGTTACGGTGGAAATCCCAACTACCCACCTCCAAATGGATACCAAGTACCACCTCAACAGTCAAACTATTATTATCCTCAACGTATGAACCCTTACTGAATCTGATGACTGCGAATGTAAAATAATGTGCTGATCAACTTTCCATAGCATCTCAATCCGTCCCAAGCCACAATAATCAAGATCCTTACCCCTCTCGTCCTTTCACCCCACAAGATATCGGATTAGGTCGCATACCTATAAGCCAGACAAATCCCCCACAAGGAATGTTCACACGAAATCTTATTGGCAGTTTGTCGGCTTCTGCATTTCGTCTTACAGACCCGGATGACCGAATCGGGATCTGGTTTGTGCTTCAAGACCTTTCCGTCCGAACCGAAGGTGATTTCCGGTAAGCTATCAATCTACCTAGTCATTCCTTAGTACGTCCTGTACTAATATTAAAGCAGCCTTCGATTTTCATTCGTCAATGTTGGTGTTCCTTCAGCACCACAAAATAACGCCAACTCATCGTGTTCCGTTAACACTGGAAAGGCCCCTGTTCTTGCTTCATGTTTCTCGGAGGTGTTTAAAGTTTACTCCGCAAAGAAATTCCCTGGTGTGGTAGAAAGTACAGCATTGAGTAAATGCTTTGCTACACAAGGTACGACCATACCCCTCTTTCTAACAGCTCGAGGAATTCATTCTAATGACATCAAAAGGAATCAAAATCCCAATCCGAAAGGATGGAAAGGATGGACCAGGAAAAGGAGGGAAAGACGGTAGCCGAGGCGATGACGACGATGACTATTAGAAGATCAACCTCCGTCTGGTCTTACGCTTTTTCGACAGAATTTTTCTTCAAAGACTACGCGCATATACCACAACATTTCCTGAAATCAATCGAAGCACCGTGCACTATTTATTCCCAAATTTTTACTATTATTAAAGCTCCGTTTGTTCGAATTTAGGGTTTCCAGCGCGTGTTGGTTCTTAGTCTAATTTGTAGAACATGAGCCGAGATCAGAGGAGAAAAGAAGGACAGAAAGAAATTACTACCAGGCGTTACGTTTTATGGCAGACATACATACCCGTTTTCCGTATTGTGTTGTGTTTTTCTGCTTGAAAAGACTCGAATTAGCTTGGATACAGGGACGGAGTATGGCGTGGCGATACAGGCATGGGTTTTGTTTGAATATTGGTCGACTTATAGCTGGAATCCAATTTGTCCAGGCTTCGGAGAGAAGTGAAAGAGTCGGTATACCTACAGCTAAATAGGTAAATCTTGATGTATAGAACAGCTATTATGGTACATTACATATTCATTTCGTACAATCTCAGACACATCTATGCATGCCTACCTACCTACCTACCTATGCAAATTGACAATTGCTGCTGAAGTCTTGTGTGAAGTTCTGAAAATTCATGAGAATAGATCAAACAGTTTTTTGTAACTATCCTTTACCCTGATCAGGGCGATGCGACAATGCCGTACTAGCTCTTTGTTAAATTTCTCGTACTGTCCTTCAAACTAGCAAGAGGTGGAAAAGAGGGAGAGGGGAGATATCGATCTATTGACTAGATATCATCTGATATCACTGGCTTAAACAAGCTTAATGCGGAAACCCCAAAGAAGCATCCACACGAACCAAGGTGTATATGAAGGAAGCATAGGCAATAATAAAGTGCAGGGAAGTATGGAAGCTAATGCGATGCCCAATCGCCAGACGAGGAACGTTGATACTTCCGGATAGGTAGGTGTTGGAGACTATTCACAGTTCGAGGAATTCATAGTCGGTGAGTTTGATGATCGCAGGATGAGTAATATATGTGATGGTTGGGTTTTCAATTTTCGCAACCTTTCCTAGAAATAGCCAGCTATATCCTACATTCAATTGATTCATGCGCTCAATCTCTCTTGGTGTCATGTTAGGCATCTATAGATGTATGCCTCTATTGACTACAGCACGTCCATTCATATTAAATAGTATAACCGACTCCAGTCTACTTCTCCGTGTGCATGAAAGTCCCACATCTTAATCACTATAGTCATCCTCATCCCTATAATCGCCTAACAGAACATCGTCCACTCCTGGACCACCTAGCAATCCATTTGCATTACCCTTTTCCTTTTCCCGTCCCCATTCCGTCTCCACTCTCAGGAATATCCACATCCATCTCCTAGCAACTTCCAATACCTCTAATAAGAAAATGCCGCTTTCAAAATCGGCAAAGTGGTCAAGATGAGGAGAGAGTTTGAGAGACCATGTGAAACGGAGGAGGAAATCAAAAAGGATGGCGATGTAGTAGAGTTCTTGTGTAGGGAGATATAGGCGAGGTCGAAGGGGATAGGAGGCTGTATTCTTTGATGACGGAGTCAGGAGAGTGAGATCCCAGTCTTTAGTCACATCCCAGTAGAAAGAGTATAGAGAGTTGATGAGTACGCTTAGTAGCCAGAATCGATAGAGTGTTGTTGTGGTGATGTTTATCGAGGTCTCATTCACCGAGAGGTTTCGCTGCATAGCCGAGAATATTATCACAGGGAACGCCGTGGAATACTTGAGCGCATTGGCTAAATGTTGACCACCCCATCCAGAAGTAGATGAGCGTGAATTCTTGACTCGTAGGTATTCGATTATGCATTGCCGGAAACGAATAAGTGAGGGTATCGCGATCATAATAGGGACGAGATATTGCCCGCCACAACCACGATCAGGGCGAGAAGTCGCGCTGCCAGAAGGGGTGAAGAACATGCAAAAGGAGACGAAAAGGTCGGCTATAATTTTCGCATAGGAAGTGAGAACATCAGCCAGGAGGATGTCGCCGAACTTGCCTTCATTGGGAAGAGCGAGACCGCCAATTGAAACACGCTTGAGGGCGGAGAGAAAATGGAGACGACCAGAGTAAGATGCGCGGCGTAAGGGTACTAGAAATGCGAGGAAGAGAAGGCAAATGTAAGTTATCGGAAGAAAGTCATAGTAGATTACTAGAGCTGGGTCGCGGTGGGAGAGTGCCCAGAAAAGGAGGATTGAGAGGACAAGGGGAATTGTAAGATAAGTAGCAAGTCGATACGCAGACAAATGATGCGGAGGATCAGTTCGTGGAGAAGCTCGTTGTGGGTATTGGATGAGTGAGGGAACATTCTACGAGGCATTTGGGTTAGAGTGTTCTAGGAGTTCGAGGGAAATGATGATTTACAATTTTAACAATTGAAAGATAATGAAGATTTGCGCCCCAAGCCCAGACTCCTATTGAATGTCAGTAAATGGGCTTCAGGAATGTACTTGTTGGAGAAGTACTACATACCTAATACAATGATCAATGCAACTCTATAGGGTAAGGGAAGAGTGCGACTGAAAGAGTCGAGCTCATTCTCAACAGCAGGGTCTCCATCCATTCTACCGCCTATTACAATACCACATCTGACGCACTAAGCTGATAATGAATGACTGAAGTGAGTTGTAAAGAATTGAATTGGGGTATATTTGCAAACGACACAACAATACTGGGTAAGTTATTAGAAAGGGAGACGTTTTCATATGAATATCTCAAATTAATCTGATACGTAAGGAAGTCACATGGAAATTAGATAAGAGTAGCCTCGAGCTATCCTAGCCACATTGTGGCACAAGGCTGAGGAAATGGCGGAAAGCTCGACCTCGGCTCTAAGCTCTCGATTCATTGATACATTCCTCACGCAACCTTCGTGAAACCTACCAGCTTCAACTTTATAATAATATTCCTCTTTGAAATCTAATACATACAATGACAGATCATATATCTGAGATATCCCCCTCGGATGTTAAGGGTCCATCCTATCAGTACCCATTCGCAGCAGCACCAGACATAATTCGATCACATCAAAAAGATGCATATTTTGAAGGAGTTCTCCTGAATCATCTCTCAAATCTCCTGCGCCGGTTGTATGGAGCAAGATTTCTTCACACATATACCAACGAAGCGCGAACATTTTCAGAATTACTCTATCTCGGTCTCACAACCCTCATTGGCAACCGGACATTAGGAGAAGAGTACTGTGACATTGTTCAGATTGAAGACGATACCCTAAGACTTCCCGACATTTCTCGACGCGCAGGCTATATTTTGAGTTCAATACTTCTTCCATATTCTCTTACCAAGATCCTTCCATCATTTCGCACTCGCATCCGTAACAAGCTCGAAGCCAACCTCCGCAAGCTTACCCGAAAAGCACAAGAAAAGTCATACTCCTACAAATTTCAGCAATATATTCTCACCCATCTCTCAACAATCACGTCACCCTCACCCGTTCACGCCCTTACTCTCACCGTCTTTTATTTCTCGGGGTCTTATTACCAACTGTCAAAACGCCTGTTGGGACTTCGTTATATCTTTACAAAGCGCATTGCTCCATCGGAGCAACGTGTAGGATATGAAGTCTTGGGTGTACTTCTTCTCCTTCAAATGAGCGTGCAAACCTACCTCCACCTAAATAATACCTTCTCCGCCGATGTTCCTTCCACTGCGCCTGGAAGTTCCGCCATTCTATCTAATGGCGTAGAAATCTCCCTTGACTCCCCATCTTCCCCTAGCGATCTCCTCGCTTCATCCTCAGCTATATCCCATTCCTCCAGCTCTATTGGCAAAACTACAAATACACCTGTGCTTACAGGTGCACGATATGACCTGAGTGATAATAAGGTCATGGGATGGATAAAGGGGGAGCAGAATAGAAAATGTACCTTGTGTTTAGAGGAACTGAAGGATCCGAGTGTGTTGGGATGTGGACATGTATTTTGTTGGAGCTGTATTGGAGATTGGGTCAGGGAGAAACCAGAATGTCCTCTGTGTAGAAGAGAAGTTTTGATTCAACACATTCTCCCATTGAGAGGATGAAGGGGCGAGCAATCGGAAGAGGAGTTCAAGCGAAATCCCGACACGGACATGATGTTATGAATAATTTGAGATGGATGCATACAAGCATTATATAATTTAATATTGAAGTTACCTATCGGAGTAAGATGTTCAGTTCAATCATTCAAATGGCGGATGATTAGATGTAGGTTTCCAAGAATTCGGCCTGCGATCCAATTCCCAAAGTTTTCAAAGTTCCAAATCTGCAAATCGTTGGATAAAAAATTCATTTACTGTATAAATTATATCAACTTCCTCTATCATCTCAATCCTTGTTTCTATCAAAATAAAGGCCCTCGTTTACTGCTTGTAGGAGCGAATACATCAGCCGAAGCGTGCTCCCGGCAAAAATCAAGGATTGGAAGCAAACAGAAGCTGTACATGAAGAGGGTGATCATAAATAAGTCGTTTGCAAGTGTCTGAATTTGGCAGGATACCAAGACGTTGAGATGCATCAACCCGAAGTGTCACAGCCACCTTGAAAAGATAAATAGACACAATCACCAAGCATCACGCATAACATGCATGCGGGTTGGCTACAGGCAATTTGGGCTTCTTTTAGCGGCAGATGAATGAAAAGAAAGTTGACGGAAATCAGAAGATAGGGGAAGATCCAGGGTAGTCCAATAATGACGATTATCAAATCTCCAAACTAATTAAAACATTCAAATCATTTGAGAAAGTGAATTTGATTGGAACATTGAACTGTTTTCAAATTTCTAATTGCTTTTAGATATTCAAAGCCTTATATTGTTGGACTGCAGTTTGTACTATTGGATACCCTTGGAGGATCAGCGTTTGCATTTGATAGACCTGTTTCTTTTATTGAGGGATAAATTCCTCTCATATTTACTTGCTCGATATTCATTGACTCCTTAACTCACAGCCGAAGTCTAACATTCACTATACCCACCAAAATGGACATTGACAATGTGTCAGAGGTTTCTCAGTATGTGCAGATACTGGATCGACAGCGGATGGCTTTGAGAGCCGCCATGCGTCGTCAAGGACAGCACCCCAAAGACATGAAATCTCGACTGGAACTCATTAGGGACTTTATGATGAATGCTTTATCGCAGCAAATGTACTGGCTTCTAAGGCAAAACAGCATGCAATTACATACCTCCTTTGTTGCCAATACATATGCACCATCTACTACACCTCTTGACAAGTTGAAGCCAATACAAATCAAAGACCTGCGACTAGAAACTCATCACCGCGGTAGCTACCTTCTCGTCCGGGCATCAACACCTCCCACCAGAATGACAGCGATCATGGCTATTGTTGAGGACGAAAACGAAGATGCTGTACAGCTGCAACTCTATCAACAGCCAGACGAGAAGGTTCGTCCAGCTACAAGTGTCATTGTGAAGGATGATGCCTTCTTAGTGAAGGAGCCGTATTTCAAAACTACAAGTGATGGTGGTTATGGTCTTCGAGTTGACCATGTGAGCGATATAACCTACCTGGATGCACATCATAATCTCTTGCCAGAGAAGTGGAAGCCTACGGTTATCGACATCGGTAAAACTGCAGAGGACTGGAAACAAGAGGGAAATGAGGCGATGGAAAAGAAACAGTACTGGGAGGCCATTCACAAGTATGACACAGACTCGCCTATTACACGTGGAGACCCCTCTCGCTAACCCTTAATACCATAGCTATACCGCGGCTCTCAAGTGTAGTCCTTCCGCCCATCTTGAGGAGACAATCCGTCTCAATCGCGCATTGGCACACCTTAAGGATGGAAGCTTCGATTCTGCATTAACTGACACGGGATGCATGATCTCCCTTGAAGACGTGCCAGAAAAGGCACTGTACCGAGCAGGACAGGCTTTATATGGGCTCGAAAGATTCTCCAAATGCCATGATATTTTCGAACATCTCTGCGCAAAGTATCCCAATAATTCTGCTGCTACCACAGGGCTCAAGCGGGTTTGTCGCCGTGTAAAGGAGCAGGAAAGTGGCATGTACGACTTTAGGTCAATCTACAAGGAGCTTTCAACAACTAGACCACCGCACTTAGATCACGCAACATATGTTGGACCGGTCGTCGTCAAGTCTTCCCCGGACCGCGGGCAAGGATTGTTTACCACTAGAGCCGTGAAGGCTGGAGAACTGCTCTTGTGTGAGAAGGCGTTTGCTCATTGTTATGCTGGAGTGTCGAAAGACTCGGATATCCATGCAAAAACTACCCTTCTGATCAATATCCATACGAATAGAATGATAGTCGGCACGCAGGGCGATCTCATAACGACCATCATACAAAAGCTTTGGAAGAATCCATCCCTTATTCCTGAATTTACTGCGCTTCATCGTGGATCTTATAAGCTTGCGAAAGAAACCGAGGTTGATGGGAAACCAGTCATTGATACGTACGTTCCCATCCCGAAATAATTTGTCAGATACTAATGCCGTATTCATAAACAGCTTCCTAGTCGAACAAATTATGGCTCTCAATGTCTTTGGCTGCCCTCTCTCTTCCTTCAAGAGCCATTCATCAGAGCCCGAAGAGGATGACAAGCATCACTCATGTGGCATTTGGCTCATGGCTTCAAAAATCAATCACTCTTGTCTTAGCAATGCCCGTAGAAGCTTTCTTGGTGACCTACAATTGGTTCGGGCTACAAGTGATGTACCCGCGAATACGGAAGTCACATACTGGTATAAATTGCCCACGGGAGAGAGCGATGAAATACAAAATGATTTGAAACATTGGGGATTTCAATGCAAGTGTATCATCTGCACTGATTCGGAGGACACATCTAGAAAAGAAATCACAGTGAGAAAGAAGTTGTTCAGAAACTTGAAGATAGTATTGGATGCGAGCCATGTAGCCATTCCCCAGGCCGAACGTTTGTTGAATGCTCTCGAAAAGACATACAAGCGACCAGCAATCGACGTTCCACGACTAGCGTTACGAGAATTATATTTCAGATTAGCTCGAGTTTACTCCCAGCGGGAAATGACCCAGAAAGCTGTATCGACGACGCTAAGAGCCTTGGATTCCATTGGCTTCGTGATCAAGAATGCAAACTTACCTGCGCTACCCGGCAAAGCTCTTGAGATTGCGAAATGGGGGTTAATGCTGCCTGGAGTAATCGAGGCATGGGTTTATCTCTGTAGTGTTTATTCTGTTTTGGCCCCGCAACATTTGCAGCAAGCTAGAGAGTATGCGAAGTTAGCATACAAGATCTGTATTGGAGAAGATCACACTTTCGAAAAGTCACACAATATTTAGGTAGAGAAGTGTTGTTCACTAAAATGTAACTGGAGAATCATTATGGAAATAACAGATACTCTCTAACATGATGAAATTGAATTGAAATTATATATTAAAGTGAGAGAATGATTCTAAGATTCTAAGATTCTAGTAGTTTGAATGACTCAAATCATTCAAATCATTCAAATCATTCAGATGTTTAAAATACTTAAAATAATTAGATTGTTGAAATCGTTTAAAACATTCAAAATATCTAAAATCTTTAGAATCTTTAGAATCTTTAGAATCTTTAGAATCTTTAGAATCTTTAGAATGTCCAGAAATTCGAGAATTCTGCAAATCATCTCGAGTTGGGTCACTTTTGAGTACATGTGCTTCGCGCGCGGTTGCAGCGCCTCTTCACGACCATTGCATTGTATTGTTGGCCTCGCCTTATAACCTAACATCTGACCCTCTCTACAATCATCAAGTGAAGAAGGAAAAAGAAAGAAAAGGGGGTTTAGTACTAGCACTAAGGAAAAGAATGACACTACGACTTCGAGGAAGGTATCTACCCTCATCGCTCCTTCCATGCTGCAGGTGGTGTCGAGTTATCCAATCCATGCGATCCATCATCTGATTGTCTAGTCATTATTTGAACCCTAAGAATATTACGGGCAATATTCAGACGCTCTTTGATGTGAAGATTACACATGAAAAAAATCAGATTTCGATAGCATCAAAGAATATTCAAGGATTTCTCAGCCCACCTCGCGAGGCCTGATTACGTCCCGATAACTCTGGACGTAAGTCTTCGAGTGTAAGTGACAGACAAGACCAAAAAGGCAGCAATCACTCTAGCAAGTTAAGTTTAAGTGAACGGTCGAGGTCGCTGGCTGTGCAGCCATCTAGGAAACTCTGTTGTATTGTACACACATAGTCTGCTGTGTTTCTCTTCTCATGTCCTCCAAGCGTATACATCTTTTTAATTACCTTTTCCTTTCTCTTTTCTCGCAGTCTTTCTCTGACTAGGTACACAAACGTCTATACCATACCCGTAACATAAACATTTACATGCGAAAGATCCTCTTTCCAAGCAATCAGAGATACGCTTTAGCTGGTCTCATCATCCACATCTTGACGAAATACCCATAGACATCTCGAGTACCTACTCTCTATCACTCTCGAGTCTCCAAATGCATACCTCCTCTCTCCTCTACATCTTTCTCCCCTTCCTAATCTTCACATCCGCCACCACTCTCTCCACCACCGCCTTCTCCCCCACCGAAAGCGAAAATCCCCTCCAAACAACCCAAACCATCTTACCCAGCACCACCCCCTCATCACCACCCCCCTCCCAAACCCCAACCCCAAGCACCTCCACCTCCACCTCCACCTCCACCCCCCTCTCCACAACCTCAGGAACCTCCCTCCCCCCCACCCACCTCACCTCCCAAACCAAATCCACCAGCCTCCCCAACTCCACCGCATCGCTCATCCTAACCCCCACAACCACCTCCTCCAACGCCTTCGAATCCGACTGGAACAAAGTAACCAACTGGCTGAGCGGCAGCGGCGCGTCTTCTTTCCACCTCCACCTCCACCCCGGATCTGCTTACGGCGGAGTGTGGATTATCATCGCTGTTGGGGTGGCTTGGGGAGGTTGGTGAATTACCTATCCACCTACCTACGTATAACATTCAACATGTAACATGTAACATGTAATATATGTAATGTGTGATGTATCGACACGGAGAATTGGCAAGGGAGCGCGGGATGT